GTTGTTTTAGAGAATGCCCCAGAAAATGCAAAATATACCTCACCCAAGATTCAAAAGGAGATTTTAAATATTCTTGCAAACAAAGTGAGAAAAAAAATTCGTGAAGAAGTTGGGCATGCTGCTTTTTGTATCCTTGTTGATGAATCACAAGATACGTCAAATAGAGAGCAAATGGCTATTGTTTTAAGATTTGTTGATAATGATGGTTTTCTACGTGAACGTTTTTTTGACATTGTGTGGGTTGAAGACACTACTGCGTCAACACTTCAAAAAGAGATCAAGAAAGTACTTGATCTCCATGAATTATGTATTGACAAGATGAGAGGTCAAGGATATGATGGTGCTAGTAATATGCGGGGTGCATGGAATGGGCTACAAGCATTATTTCTTAGAGATTGCCCATATGCATATTATGTACACTGTTTTGCTCATCAACTACAGTTAGCATTAGTTTCAGCATCAAAAGAAGTAGCTACAATTTGGTTATTCTTTTCATCATTGAATTCAATTGTCAATGTCATTAGGGCTTCTCCAAAACGTCATACTGAGTTACAAGTTGCTCAATCAATGAATATTGTAGAGCTGTTGATTGCTGGTGAATGAGAGACTGGTAGAGGAGCTAATCAAATTGGTACCTTGCATCGACCTGGAGCTACTCGGTGGAGTTCTCATTACGATTCTGTTTGTGACTTAATAGAAATGTATGATGCAGTTTGTACGGTTCTTGAGAATATAAAAGAGGATGGATCCACAGGCTCTTTACGTGGGGAAGCTACTGGTGGATACAATGCGATTAGGCAATTCGAATTTGTATTCATCTTGCATCTATTGAAAGAAATTATGGGACTCACAGATATCCTTTGTCGAGAACTACAACATAAGTCTCAAGACATCGTGAATGCTATGAACCTAGTTGGTACAACAAAAGATGTCCTTGGAAAATTGAGATTAAATGGTTGGGAAACTTTTATTGGGAAAGTTGATTTGTTTTGCAAGAAACATGACATTGACATGCCTGATATGAATGCTCAATATAAAGTGGGAACAGGTCGTTCTTGTCAACAAAAGGACAATATTACAGTTGAGCATCATTACCACTTTGACATATTCAATGATGCAATAGATTTTCAATTGGCAGAGTTGAACAGTAGGTTCAGTGAAGGGGCAATGGAACTTCTTATTCTTAGTTCAGCTTTGGACCCTAGTGATTCTTTTAAATCATTTAATATTGATAAAATTTGCAGCCTTGCAGAGAGATTTTATCCTCAGGATTTCACTCCAAAAGAGTTACATATTTTGGGATGCCAGCTGAAACTTTATGAGGCGGACGTACCTCATCATCCTGTACTTCAAAACGTGTCTACACTCTCTGAATTATGTCGGGGATTAGTTGCAACAAAAAGGTCAAAAAGATATCATTTGATTGATAGGTTGATCCGTCTTGTGCTAACTCTCCCTGTTTCTACGGCAACTACTGAACGAGCTTTTTCAACTATGAAACTTGTTAAAACAGCTCTTCGCAACAAGATGGAGAATGATTTTCTAGCAGATTCTATGGTTGTCTACATTGAAAAAGAACTTGCTGACAATATCAATTCAGATGTAATAACAAAAGATTTCAATTCTCTCAAGGATCGCAGGGCACAACTTCAATAAGTACACTTTTAATTATGTTGTTGAACATATTATTTAATGCATACTTTGCTTGGTTTATACTTTTATTTGATTTAATGTATACTATTAGCATGGTTTATATGATTTAATGCATAGTTTTATTTTAGTTAAAAAATTTAGCTAGCCCACCGGTCCAAAAATTCCTGGTTCCGCCCTTGCCTATAATTTAATGCTGTTTTATTTAATGAATATTTCAAATATTTAATTAATACTAACTATTTTTGATATTATTCTTTTAATAGAGATTACTTCAGATTATCTAGCGGGCTTGTGAAGGTTTACATTCCTAGTCAAGCCTGGAGTTGTTATTTGGAGAAGAAAACGAAGCTTATGTAGAACGAATAGAAGGAATGGCAGATAAGATTCTTGTTAATAGCAAATTCACAGCATCTATGTTTGCAAAGACATTCAATAATCTTAACGCATGAGGAATTCAGCCAGCTGTTGCTGTTAATGTGACCAATTCGTATAAGTAACGAGCATGTTTGTATATGGTTTACAGTTTCCTTGATGATTTTCATTTCCTTTCTGTCGATATAGAGGAAAAAGAATATAGACTTGGTAAATTTGAGCTTTTGCTATGCTTCGTACCCTTGAATCCTAGCTGTTTCTTGATCCAACTCTGTTTGTATTCCTTTACTTTCGTCTCTGTTTTGCTCCTTCCCGTTTGGATTGTTCAATGACATCAGACTTACAGAGAATTTGTTGACCCCAATCTCTGGTTTAAAGAGATGTTCCCTGTGCTGATCTAAAAGCCATGAAACGTTCTTTAAAATAGTTTGAAATGTCAAACTTTAAATCTTGACCACATATTCAGATATGATTCTGCCCAATCAATAACCTTAATTGCTATAGTTCGACAAAAGAACGTATCTG